GATGAGTGCTATGGCTGAATAGGTTGCTGTACTCTAAACAACAGCTAATACAATTCTTTGAAATATGTCATGTTTTGTCCTGGGTGCTTAGTCTCCTCTTAAGTCCTCATATCAGTTTAGCAACTGGAGATAGGGGGGGTTCCCAAACAGGCACCTCTTTGAATTTGTGATTCTAGAGGTGGTGGATTAGATTAAAATGTTCCCCAATTAAAGAGTAGTATTACTAAAGAAGTGTGAACTGTTTTATCAAGCAATCTGTCTAAAATTCAGAAACCTCAAGTCGTCTGATTTCTGATTATGGATAAAGATACTGCAGTTGTCATTTGTGCAGAAGAAAGTTGCTTGCATACCTTTTATAACTGTTTGCACTCAAGGATATGGGACTAATGTATTTCAAACGTAAATTATGAATGACACAAGGGATATATGCCAACCGAGCATCAGTGATTTTCTGTATCAAATAACAGTTGTAATTATGAGGTCCCAAGATACACCACCACTTGGTGGTAATGCTCAGCTAGACTCATTTTCATAGTGAATGATCTATACAGTTATTTTCCATAAGTGATTTAGTACCAAGATGGTCATGTTAACAAGTGGACCATTTCTGTCTGCTTACTATTTAGGTCAGAACTAGGCCTCTCAGGAAAACAGATTGCTTTCTGCTCTTCCATAACTGGCACAATTAAAGTATTTTTCTTTAAATGGCAAATAACATTTGAATCAGGGGGAGAGGTGGAAGCATCTTTAATATCTCCAGTGTACAACTGTTGAGAACCTGATTGACAAAATCTTTATATATTAATTGCTACCAATATTCTCAATGATACCATATTTTTCAGACTAAACTAGATTTACAGAAATTATAATAGTAATAACAACAATAAGCACTTTGCTTCATAAGTCAGATTTTTGTGTAGCTATAGAAATGCTTTGTTCTACCCATTTTGATGCAGATTTTCATGTTCTAACCTGTGGTACGCCTATTTCTGCAGCATTATAAACATTTGTCAGCTTCTACAATTTCTTTGTAATGGTATTCATTGCCAAACACATCACAGATTATTTTGGTACTTCTTTGTCTGTACAGAGAAATTTAGCATACTATTTTTCTTTATTTCTGATTTTTAAGTCAAATATTTCCAAAATGAAGCCCATTTTTTGTTTATATAGGGAAATTTCCAAACGGTTTTGTTGGCTGGCTCCTGGAGAAAATTTGAATTCTTCAGTTTGCCAGACATTTCTCCCTCATTTGAAGTTATATTTATTCTTCAAACATATTTTTTTTTTACCCTATTAAGAGAAAGTTTGGGGCCAAACATTTTCTGCAACTGAATGTGATGCAAATTGCTGCTTCTTGTAATAGCTTGACGTAAAAGTATGCTGAAGACACTGATACTCTTTGCTTCCTTTAGGACTTAGTAATAGCTACTGTTTGCTCACAATGAGCCTTGGGTTTCCATATATTCAGGATAAGAACAACCATACTGGATGAAATGAGAATCATCTAGCATGGTATCCTCTCTAGTAGTTACTCAAGCTGGGACATGCTTTGCTGGATTCCAGTTATTTCTGGGTTTGGGTCTACCTGAGCCAACCTCAGGGTTTTCCTCTGAGTAGCCATGTTTGTCATCCACATAGAATTAATCTAACTAATTTTGTAATGCAGTTCAAAAAAGTGTGTTTTTCTATACACTTGTAATGTATGCACTTTTGTTCTTTTAAGTTTGCTTTCTTATAATTTCCTGGGTGTTCTATATTATAACTTGAGAAATAATGAATATTCATTCTGTAAGCCATTCATGATTTTATAGCCATGTGTTCCCTTCATCTTAGTCATCTTTTTCCAAACTGAATTGTCTTTAGTCTCTTTTCATTTGTATCTTTGCTTATTCTACTCTGTGACCTCTTTAAAATAAAAGAGAGTAATCAGATATACAGATTATGCAAAATGTTGATACACAATGGATTGTTATGACAGAATGAGATTTTCTGTATAATTTTCAGTTCTTTTCCTAATAATTCCAGTATTCCTTTTGCCTTTTTTAATGCCTCAGAGCTTTCAAATAATTTGTAGGGGAAATGAAGCAGCTTTAACATCTCCTTTCTTGAGTGGTAATAGCTAATTTTGGACTCATCACTGTCTACCTATAATCAGCATTGGTTTTTCCCCAGGCATGAAGTCTGTACTTGTTGATGTAGAAATTAATTTGACTTTTTGATCGCCATGCGGTTCAGTATATGCAATGTTTCTAGATTAAAATAATGCAGTGGAATCATGAAGCATGATATTTTACTTTTTTTAAAAAAAAATGTACCAATCTTTTCCAACATATCAAGCATGTTTTAATTTCTAATAGAACACTGAGTAATAATACAAAACAGCCTACTAGATTGTAGATACCTGAAACTTTCTTACAGCCTTTTAAGGAGATGGATGTGACTTTTATAATTTTGTCTTTTACTGATGTTGATTTAAGCAATTAATATCTTAGTAATTTTGTATTTCTGTTCATCTAGAACTTTGGTCTTATGTGTAGTCACTTTTCAACCGATGAGGTTTTGCTAAACCTTCTGACATTTTGGTTTGAAACCAATCTTGAAAATCATTCCTAATATAGAAAGGTAGTCTTTTGTAGTGAACAGCTATGAAATACATTCTTTGCAATCTCTTTTGTGGTGCTCTTTCCTGAATGCTACACATAATCATAAAAGCATTAGTTGGTCATCTGATCCAGCTCAAAGCAGAATTGTTGTTAGTGCTATATCCAGTCAGTCATGATTTTGTCTGGATAAGTCTTGATACCTCTGGGGACAGAGTTTCCACATCCCCTCTGGCAGTGAAAAGTTCTGATGTCCACTCTGAATCTGCTAATTATACCACCTAATTTTTTATTGCCCATATTGATTCTCTGGTAGTCTTCCTTTGTTTCTGGATTTTAATTATTTTTTTCCTCTGTGCTTTAGGCATGTTGTTTGTTAAAAGCTCATTTTGGTATTGCCTTATTCTGGTTTTAAAATGTGATGGTGGTTATCCCCTCTTACTGAACTTCCTTATTTTGATCTGATTTTCATTTATTGAAGATGACTTTTTCCATGTAAAACTTTCCTTCATGTGGTAGGTTTTGGAGTAACTTTAAGTCTTTTTTGATATGATTTGAGTGCTATTGTGTAATCTGAGTTTGCTGCAATTACTAACAGAAAATGTTTCATTTACAGTTATGTATTAAACTAGGTATTTTTCTTCATTTAGGGTTAAACTCAGAGTTGCTTTTCACATGTGAGTTCTCTGATGAATGGCTGTAATGCATGACTGAGTCTCTTATAATATACTAAATATCTAGATCAAATCCAGTCTAAAAGGGAATTAATTTGAAAATCCTTGTTGCTGTGTTTTCTGCTATTGTGGTCTTTTAACTCTTAGCTTTTTGTACTTGCTGTTGTCTTGCCTTTTACAAAATGTTGCTGTCTTGCTTTTAATATCTTCATCTTCCTGAAAAATGTGGCTGATGCCTCAGTAATAGATCTCTATCATGAAATCATACTGAAGAGATTTTATGGACTACAGAATTCTTTTATGAGGAAAGGGTAGGAGTACATGCTTCTCTAACTTTCATTCAGTGTTTTCTCCACTGAGAATTTACTATTAGATGTTCTATTTTATCTTGTATCAATAAAGCTTAGAGCTTCAATGTAGATTTGAGGGTGTGATAATAACATTTATTTTCAGTGGAACTTCCAAGTAGCTTTGTCTCTCCTGTTATTTCAGCTTTGCTTGACTCACAGATTAAAGATGAAAAAGTTAAGAGACTTTTTGTTCCAATAGCTAATTAAAAGTGAGGTACATTGAACTACAGCTGCTGCTGATGTAGATGAATGCTAGTTTTGAATCACTGTACTTTTTCATATTTATAAATATTTGCACTCAAAAAAAATGCACTGACCCAAAGAGAGTTACTTTAGACCACAGAGTTTATTTGTTTACTGCCCTCTCTGGGTTTCCCAGGACACTTGAGTTAGCAACGTTAGTTTTTGCTTCTGATTATGAATTTTAAACCTTTTGCTAATTCACATCTCTTGCATCTCTGTGTTGCTTTAACTCCCTGGTTTTGTCCCTGTTGTGCACTGACTGATGTTTTGCACTTGTTTCTCTATCCCAGTGCAATTGCCCTTTCCCTGTGGTCAGTTTTCCCACCACATTGGAAAGTGATGTAGAGATTGGTTTCTTTTCCTCACTTTCAGAGGTCTGAAATTGAGGTAGCTTTTCAGGAGCCCTTTGATCTTGCACAGAATGTGAGATTCATACTCCTGAATCATGGTCCAGGCATAACACAGGATGTGTCAGTTCCTTCTGAATAGCAGTGTTACCCATTTAGGGAGTAGGAGAGGACCTTTGTATAGATCCACTGAAGTGGAATGTTTTGGATCCCAGCTGAACCAAGAAGGGAGGCACAGGGTTTCAAATACAAAGTTGTTGTGTCACTCCCATCGGTAAGGGAAAGAAAATGTATTTTGGGTGAATAATCAGTAAGGAAAATTTTCAACTTTGCTTCATTCTTATTTAACTAACATTTTTGCTAAAATAAATACACATATGGTCAGAAGAAAATTGCAAAACTTGACCTTTGAAGATGACAGTTCCTTGCAGTAACTGATACAAAAAAGTACTATTTGTTTTAATAGAAGTCTTCATTTATACAATGCAATTTTGTAAATATTCTTTGCAGATTCTTTGTCCAGATGGTAAATATGGCCACATTGTTTACTCAGTTCTTTTTCCTTTCTGTTTTGAAAGAACAGGATTTTTAAACTCTATTTAAAAATCAAATAGTTACACTCTGTTCAATATTTCTCTTTTTTCTATATCAACAAATATAAAAAGTGGGTTTTTTCTGTCCCATTTTCTCCTCCCCAACTCATACTTCCATTCTTGTTCCTAATGAATGTATCATCTAAAAATAGATATGTTCATCACTCTATAATATTTTGTATCTTTCTAGATTGGAGGCCAGTGTAATTGTAAGAGACATGTGTCTGGCAGACAATGCAATCAGTGCCAGGAAGGATTCTACAATCTGCAACAGTCAAACCCTGATGGCTGCAGTCCCTGTAACTGTAATACCTCTGGGACAGTCAATGGAGATATTACCTGTCACCAAAATTCAGGACAGTGCAAGTGCAAAGCAAATGTTATTGGTATGTGTAATGCAAGAGTTTGGAGCCATTTTTCTTGTTTTCTCTGGAAATAAAACACACTTGATTTCTAAATGAAAGGTATAGGAAACTTCTTTGCTGAAGGCAGATTATAAAAATGAATGAAATTAACTGTTGAAGAATTATTAATTTCATAATTCTATCAAACTACAGCTTGAAGCTTAGTTTAATCAACCCTTTAGAAGTTTCTTTATGGCATAGCTGCATTAGCTTACATAGCTCCATACTAATAAGTCACAGAAATAATGTAATTTGCTTACTGCATAGATGTTTCTTTTAGGAAATTAACACTTTTCCAAAATGTTTTATACTTAATGAGTTCTAAGGAAATCGTTTCCCTGCTAGTTTTCTTAATAGACCAAAATAAATGGATTTTTTTCTCAAAACATTCTGTGCTACAGGGTCCTTTGTGATAAATCTATCATTTTTTTTCTATTATATTTCTTTGAACTGTTCCTATGAAATGCAAAATAAGTCAACATAATTCCACAGATCATGTACATAGCTAGGGTTAGTTATCAAGGGCCACATAATTTTAATTTTGTAATTCAATGCGAAGCTGATTATAATAAACTGCTACCTTCTGTGTTATTTATCATTTTTTTTACAAGACGTGCTTTTTTGTTTGTTACTCCCACAGGTATTTTTCAGAAATTAGATTTGATTATAGCAATTTATTACTTCCAGCATATTTGAGGGGAGCCACAGCCACATAAGGACAAAATTTATCAAGTGCCCAAAATACACAGTATATGTAATACACTTTGAAATGTTGATGTATGAGAATATTATGCAAGGAGAATTTCCTGATAAAGTGAGCCTTGCATGGTAACTGTACATGTCTCAGGCTATACATATGTCTCAAAAAAAAATAAAATCCTTTCCTACTTTGTTATTAACACAATTAGTAATCTGTTTTTCCTTTAGCCTAACAATGGTTCTGGGTTGCATTACTAATGTTCAAGTACATTACAATATACTTGATATGATATATACACTCACTTGTGAATATTGACTTGTTTGTAATATCGTGAGTCTTTGTTGCTAAATGCCAAATAACAACAAATAATGAAAGTAACTCTAAACAGGTAGCAGCCTGAACAGTTTCTGTTCTTCTTCTTGTGGTATGCCATGTTTTTCATACAATAAAAAGGATGCTAAATAATAATAACCTCTGTGCTTCTTAGACCCACTCTCTACATTCAAGAAAATGGATTTCAGAGCATTCTTAATTATATATTCTTTGCTCACATTTCATGTTTGCGTCTGTGAAAACCTTTCTTAATCAGTGGCAATTTGACACACAAGAAATGCACACTCTGGTTCTCACATATTTCGTTGTCTCTGTATTAAACATTTTCTCCCCTTGATGAAAGCAATAAGAATTATTTTAATTTTCAGTGAAAGTTATATATAAAAAAAGTGTAAATCTATGCTTTCTATACTTATCCATAGTGATTGTTCTCAGGATAAAGACCTAGTTCTTTCCAGACTAGATTCTCTTTTTTTTTGTCACTTGTTTTCCAGACCAATTGTAAATAAGCTTCTGTATATTGAAACACGTGCAGCAAACTTTAAACAAAGACATTTCCTCTTTGGATTTCTAAATTGGTTTTTAAAGCAATCTGTCTATTGCCATTTTATCTATTTAAACAAACACAATAACAGAAAAAATGCAACTATGGACTGCAGTGTTATGAAACATGAACTGTTAGAGTTAACACAACTGTTAAATCTTACTAATGATTCTATCACCAGTAAAACACATTAGCACCAATAATTTTATTAAAGTAGGTCATTCATCTAGAATAAAAAGGTAGAAGAATGTGAATTAAATGCCAAGCGTGCTAACTCCCCTGTACTTGTTAACATTGAATGTGATGCCCTGTAGGCCTTCCTCTGTATCGTTAGGAATAGATTACCTGTCAGGAATATGTATGGCATATTCAAATAAGCACTGCGCATATTTTTAAAACTGATATGATATGAATCCATGTAGACCAATTTTAATAGTTCAAAATGAGTCATAATTCTTGTTAACAATACAGTTATTTTTAAAATTTGCAGCAATAGTGGTCCTTTTTTATTTTCCTTATGGAAATTAAATGATATGCCTTAGGTGAGTCATTCATCACTGTTAAAGGAACTTGCCTTCTGTTGGAGTTTCTGAGTTTTTTATCCGTATGTATAATGCATTCCCTACCATTTTTAGTTATAATTTTCAACATGTAAGTTGCTAGATGTATTTTGTATGGTTTTGTATTTTTTAAACTATGACAATATTTTTCTAGAGCATTGTATTTATATTTTCCTATATGCACCAATTAAGTGATGGCTTCACAGTGAAGGATTTTCCTGTTGCAAGGGAAAATACATAACTGAATTTGCATTTTTCGTATAATAATCTAGTTTGCTTTCCTGGAATGTACATTTTATAAACTAACATACAAATGCCATCCCTTGGGGCAGGGATAAAGCAAGCATTGACTTTGAAAACAAAGCTAATAAAACTACAGGATGAAGCATGAAGAAAATGGTTTAGATTTTAATGTACTGCAGGTGTTAACTAAATCATACATTTAGATAAAAATATTTCATTTTGGATTATGGAAAACATTTTCTGCTTTCAGTAAGGCCTAACAATAAACACTAACAGAAATGTAATCAATGGTAAAACTGAAGTACAGTGCTAAGGAAATCCTTCGTTGTAATTAGTCTAACTTGTGCTGTCCTAGCGTATATTAAATGTTTTTAATATAATGTAGAAATCTATTATCAGAACAGATTGAGAGCCCAGTGCAATTCCCTGTGTATTGCATTTCTACAATATAGGGTGAAGAGTTCATGTAAGCATTGATTGTGCAACAGGTACTGTTCTGGGGAACAATGAGATTAATTCTGGTTTGTCTTAGAAATGTTACACAGAATCTCTTGCAGAAGTTTCTTAAATTATATTGAGAGGCCAGCAGAAACGCATTGCTTCTGAAACAAATTGGAAAAGTAAACAGATTTTTGGGATGCCACAGTTATTCAATTGATTTGTGCAGCCCTGTCACTCCTGTTAATTATGTTAGTGAAGAATATTAGTCCTTCGTTTCTCTTTTTTATTACAAGTGTAGTATACTTACCTGTTTTAGAAACTGAAATGAATAGCTTTTCAGCTTTTTTCTTTAATTATTAGTAACACCTTTTCTCTTTCCAGGTCTTAGGTGTGATAGTTGCAATTTTGGATTTAAAGCTCTCAGATATTCTAATGAAGATGGATGTGAGCCTTGTTGGTGCAACAGCCACGGCTCAGTGAACCAATTTTGCAACCCTCTCTCTGGGCAGTGCAATTGTAAAGAGCGAGTGAAAGGGCTTCACTGTGACATCTGCATGGACAACTTTTATGGGTTGGATGTAACTGGTTGTAAGGCTTGTGAATGTAATGCTGCAGGGTCGTTTTCTGGAACTGTGTGCGATGCCACAACAGGGCAATGTGCATGTAAACCAAATATTGGAGGAAGACAATGCAACGAATGCCTGGATGGCTACCGCAAAGTACAGAAAAATCATTCCTTTGTTTGTCTGCCGTGTAACTGTGATAAGGCAGGTACTGTCAACGGCTCTCTGCTTTGTGACAAATCAACAGGACAGTGTCCATGCAAAGCTGGTGTAACTGGCCTTCAGTGCAGTCAGTGCACGCTTCATATGTACAACCTCAGCATGAGCAACCTCCTTGGCTGCCAGCGTTGCGACTGTGACGCTCTGGGCACGTTGGCAGGAACAGTTTGTGACCACGTTTCTGGACAGTGTGTCTGTTTGCCTCAGCGTCAGGGGAGAAGGTGTGATGAGTGTAAACCAGGTAAGGAGATTGGAAGGCAATCTATTTGATGTAGTAAGTTTTGCTTTATTTGATATTCTAGTTCCTACAGTTTTTAATATATGTTTAGACAGCTTCATGTCTGACATGTCTCTGACATTTGTTGTTAATTGTTTTTCCATTTCTTCCTAACTATATGAATGAGAAGGAAGCATTAACATCCTGATCGCCATCGAGTATTTATTCTGTTGCCAGAGGTTGTACAATTTGTATTATTACTGCAGTTTCAACATGTCCAAAATAAGGTTAGGCTGGTTCTAGATATTAAGAAAATACACAAATTTTCATGGCCCATTCGGTGAATGAGAGGTAAATTGGCATAGTTTAATGAACAGCAGCTATCCTCATAATGAAAAATGTGGATTTGGAAGGCAGAGTGCAAGTTCTTCAGGAAGGGCACATCATGCATAAAGCTGAGCGTGGCAGGAGGCACAGAGATGGTTGCTTAAGCTTTGATGAGGCTGGCAAACATACCACTTAGAAAGCATTCACCTACCTTGCTGTGTTGAGGCTGTGCTGGCTTTCACAAGGGCTGCTTACAGTTTGGTCCTACGAGTAGATGATATTGCAGTTGCTATGTATCAGTTCAAGATTTTGTACCATATTACTGTAAACAGGGTTTAAAGGTTCAGTATAAGAGGAGAGTTCTATAGTTATATTTCAATGTTTTGTTTTAGAAAGTAGGTGGGTAAAGTGAAACTATAGGTAATGTTAACCTACGCTTCATAATAATATTAAGCAGATAGATTTAGTTCAAGTTAAATACATATGCAATTTATTCAAGTAGCAGGTCACATTAAAAGGTACGTTATAGCTCCATTGGTTTTAATATGCCATTCAATAATTTGAACAGAGGTTAAAAAAGCTGCTTAACCTCCATTAAATATTTTTAAAATGCTTTCATTTAAATTATTTTAGGTAGATATACTAATAAATAAGGCAGCATTCTGTTTTGCTTCGTTCCTCCTCCAGTGCTATTTGACCTGCTAACCCTCTATAGCAGCCACTTAATCAGAGATCGGCAGAGGAGTGATGTCAAGGCTTCCTGAGTCAGTGACCGCCCTTGTCCTTGAGAAAGAAAGGCCAGGGTTTATGCAGAACTAAATGGTTTAAAAAGGTTTAATTGATAGTATGAACAGACTGGTTTGTAGAATAGCTTACATGGCACTCAAAGGAATACTTCCACAATAGCTCCTGTTAAAAAGAAAAATAATTTTAAAAATATTGCTGTAATAACTATTTTTACATTTTCTAACTAATAGCTATAAGCCTGTGTCTGCTGAACACTGAGCTCTCTGCTGCAGGTGGAAGGGTAAATTCTTATTGTTGTAAAAGCATTGTATTGCTCTTAGTGTAGCATAGCCAGCTGCAGAATTTTCACTATTTTAGTGTTGATCCCAGTGTGAGCTCATTTAGATATTTAATATCTCTAACTGTTGTATAAATATTCTTTGTTACTATGTATAGAAAGAGACTTTTCTATACAACAAGGGGAGTGTATAAGAAGTCTTCTATATAGAAGTATGGAAAATTTTAATTGGTTTCAAATACTGTAAACATGTGCTGTGGCTTTGTCTTGGGACAAGGGTAAGAAAACATACTCCAAGTGTATGAGCCTAATTAAAACACATGACTAATTAGTTAGTACTGGGAGCCCTAAAAACATACTGGGAGCTTTTTAGTTTGCTAGGATATTTCAACTCTGTGATCCAAGTGTCCTTAGTGGAATACAGGTCACGTCTTTTTTTTTTTTTCCTTATTCTGTGTAATTATACGTCTTGTTTTAGTTAGTGGTATTTAAAATAATGTCCCCTTTTCTTTCATGTGCTTTGATAAATGTGAGAGGTTTCCAAAAGTTACCAAAATCTTAATGCAGGAAGAGTTGCCAGTGGAGAAGAATTCAAAGTGGATGTAGCTTTGGGAAATTGTTTTATAATGAGATTTTTTTCTTAAAGCTCTTTTTGAAGCATTCAGCCATGTATTTTATCTATTAGGCTATACCCGTGACCTGCTGTCTTTCAGTTTGTTCTCATACAAATAACATTTTGGTAGATTGCTGTGCATTTAATTATATTTTTTTTTAAACTAATGATATATGCAAAGAGAGGGATACTTGAGTCTAACATGAAACCAAATGAAAGAGCAGTTTTACCTTGTATATAAACTTGCTTTCAAGATGTCCTAGGTTGCAGTGATTGAAGCAGGATCTTTCCAGCCTGCAAATCATTGTGAACAGTTTGTCCTGCCTCATTCTGGTACTGTGTTGCCATACTATCTGGGATTTGTGCCATTCAACACAGATCGTGGATCCCGTTATGAGAGCAGCAAAGATGCAAAAAAAGGCATTTTGTAAATTCTTTACTTGCTGACCTCTGGTATTTGTAGAGTGCTACACAATATGGAAAATATATAAACTGGTATGTAGGATGTGTGCTGGGCACCAATACTGAGTTTTTGTGTACCTGCTACCTTTCTTGGCCAGAAAAATATCAGTTATCTTGTGACAACATGGTTGATGTGGTTAACTGTGCATTTTGAAGTGGTTAAGGAATGAGCATTACTGCCATAGCTGGTAAGCATGTAAAAGTGGTAAGGAATTTTTCGTGTGTTCCTTTTCTATACAGTGGGAGAAAGTGAGAGGATGATTAAAAAAGGAAGATGAATACTTCGCTGTGACTTTCATTCTTCCTTTTGAAAAGTATGTTTGATTGACAAATGTGACCAGTTATGGTTGAATTGGAAAAAAATCTGAAAAAGGATAAGCATAATACTAGTTATATACGTAGATCTTGCAGAGATTTGCAGTGGCTGTCTTAAAATTGGAAATTGACTCTATTATACAACAGTGGATCCTTCATAAAGCAATTTTTATGAGCCCTTCTAACCTTGCTGTAAATTAAGCTTGCATTAAGTTGTTTCTTTCTCTTTCCTGCCAAATTCTAGGTGGTGGAAATAAATAATAATAATGTTTATGACAAACAGTATTAATTTGTAATCTGATGTCTCTTCTCTTTTTGTCTGCATTTAATCGTGTTAATTTCCTTATAAATTAGCTGGGATAAGAAATTTCTCCCATTTTGCTATCCCTCGCTTTTACTTTTAAAAAATGTTTTGCATTTACATGTTACTTCTGGGGGAAAAAAAGTAATTGTGGTAGTATCCAGAAACTTAGTTAAACTTTTAGAGCATTTCTAAAAGATTATTATGAAAATATATACCAAATCCTTCACTGCTCTACACTTGTTTAAGGAATGTGACATTAGGGGTGCCAGGATGTTTAACATGAAGGTATAAATTCTTTATAATCATGAATTTCACTGCTATGACAAAAGCAATATATGCTGTAATGAATTTGTTTTCTAGGGTTGTGTTTATTTACCCACTGTAGTTTTTTCTTAGGCATTAGTTTATAGAATAGAATCATTGAATCATAGTTTCATGAAAAATTTCAGATGGACGAGGTTCTGTTTTAGCCTGAGTGCTTATCATTGACTGCAACTATAAACTGGGTCCTGAAGAAGCTTTGACCTTCTGCGTGAGTCCAGGCTTAAACTTGTTTCCTACCTTCCTGTACTGTTCTGTGAGTGGAGTCGTTCATTGTGCTCAAGAGTGACATTGCTGGGAAATGGGCTCCTCTATTTATGCACAGGATGAGCACTGTACTGTGCAGACAACTGCAGTATGAGATAATACATGCTGCCTCACTAATAACTTCAAGCTATTTGGTCTCTGTGGTGGCTCTGTTCGGGGCCTCTCTGGAATAAAGTGCCAACAGCATGTTTTTTTATGATGCGAATGTATGTTAACTGGAGACTGATATCACTTCACTGTCCACTTGAGATTTATCTCACTGAGGACCAGAGGCTAAACTTGAACAAAAATTTGAGCAGTAAAATTCTAATGTTTTCAATTTATTTAGTTCCCCTGCTATTTGGATACAAACTCACAGTGCAACACTGCTGCAAAGACAGAGAATACTACCCTAGGGGTGTATATATAGAGCTATCTCTTGTAAGACAAATAATAAGGCCTTGGGCAATATGACATGTTACAATATAATTTTGGGCTCTTTATTATAAAGCAGGACATCAGGAAGTTATTGGACAGCAGAAAATATTCAGTAACTAAGATCATGACTAAGAAACTACTGATTGAACTTTATCTGGAGAACAAGAGAGGGCAAGTGTCTGAGTAGTCTGTGCAAAAACTGGATATCTCAGTAACAGCTGAATTTGTTCTGTTGAAGTTGTACAGTAATAATTAATAGCAACCCACTGACAGAGATAGAAACTCGTACCAATGACCCTATCTTAGGATTCGTGTTCAAAGATAGGTACTTGATGTTGACTAGTGCCTGTTTATACTGTCACTGGCATCATTTGCAAAGCTGTCATACAGTCCTACATTTTTAATAAACTGTACCACTCCAAAGGGTCAGGGGGAGAAAGAGCAGAGTAATTTGGGTGAAAAACTCACTTAAATGTTTATTAATAATCAGGTAAAAATAGAAAATTATTTAGAAAGCATATGTAATTATATTGTTAGTGGTATACCATTACTGGAATTGTCTTCTGATTAGAAAGAAATTAGTAAGAATGGAATAAGTCCATACCTATCAAAATAGGTTATGCAAGTGATACAGCATCATTAAAAGAATGTGTGTAAAAAATCTTCTGTTTAGAATTTCCGTCGAGTCTATGAATAATGGGTAGGTTCTTCAGTGACCAGATTAGAAGTGTATAAACTCTATCTGACTGTATTTATCAGTAATGTGTTCAAGGCATAGATAAAGATTACTTCTGAGGGCAATGGGATGAAAGGTAGCATGGCAGAAGCATACCAACTATACTGCGGGGAAGGTGAAGTGAATGCTCCAGTTCATAACTGGAAATAATACAGGAACAAAAGGATAGGATTCAGAGTGAAAGCTTTTTAATAGCAGATAAGTAACATTTTAAATCAATTTATTAGTTTCTGTCAAAGTATTTGTGCAGGATACAAGCTCTGTATTGGGGAGGTGTAAAATTCAAATTTTACATAGAACTGGGAATACTCATCAAATATAATTTTTTTCTAAGAAACAACATAATTAGGCCACCCACTGGTTGAGACATATCTTAAGACGATATGTGCATTTGTTATGTTTTGCAGAGTGGCCATTTTCAGGGATGAGATCCCAGACTAGAATGGACAAATGTCTGTTCTTGTGTGTAATTTTTTATGTTTCTACTGCTTGTGGTGCATTCATTTCTACCTCTCATGTCTGTGGGTCTTTCCTTTCCCCAAAGACTTGTTAATGTACTCCCCTATTTTGTATTTGCTCTGTCTAAAAGTCTGAAGAAAGAGAATAAAACATCAGAGTTGGCAAGAGCAGGATGAACAGTAGCTTTACAAAGTGCCAATGAGAAGATTTAGAAGCTCAGCGCTGCAGGAAGACTACAGTGCTTTATTTGAGTTGATGTGTGTGTTACTAAGCTTTGGTTCTGTTTCATCCCTGATTTTATACAAGTTGATAATAACCTTGCTGTGTTCGCATTTTGCATATTGTCTGTTCTCAAAATCCATTTCTTTTCCAGGTTTTTACTTTTCTCCATCCGGTGTCACTGGCTGTCTGCCATGCCTGTGCCACACAGCTGGTTCAGTGAATCAGATCTGTGATAAACTAACTGGCCAATGTAGTTGCCAAGATGCCTCTGTAACAGGACAGACATGTGAACGTTGCAAAGAACTTTTTTTTGGGTTTGACTCTGTCACAGGGAGGTGAGTGTTTGGTTGTTTTACAGGTCACTTATAACCTCCTTGTTACTTTTTTTCTCATAGTAGCTCAGTCAATGGTTTAGTGACAATGAAAAGATGTGTTCTAGTTACATTCATCCTTGTTTGAGTTCATGTGTGCACTCTGATTTTTGTGCAATATGTTATACAGTCCTCTATTCTGCCATGAGCTGAAACAAATAGAAATTTTGCCAGAGATTTAAATAGAAACATCATGAAAGTCATGTAAGGCTAATGCTAGCTAATGTTGTAGCAATTTGGCAATTGTTTTGTTACATTTTCTCTGTATCTTCAGTAAGGTCTGTTGTTTTCTGAGGTGTTAATCACTGGCTGCTACAAGGCAGGTTATGTACCATTCTTATAACCAGCAAGTGCTTCTGAAGATTTCAAGAAGGGGGGGAGAAAGGAAAAGCTGCAGATATCCCTGTCTTTCCGAATTTATTTTGGTAGCAGCAGTACAAATACTCACTGCACCTTTTTCTCTTAAAAATCTGTTTTTCTGAATCAGTGTATTCTTTTTCAACATTTTGTCATGTGCCACAGGGTAAATTGTTTATCTAATGTAGCCTGAGGCCTCTAGGTACATTGGAATTATATGGTTGCATTCCCTGGAATGTAAAGGGTAAAACTTATCTATAGGTAGTGTACTGTTATTCCAACTATTGCTCTGTCTTTCTTTTCCAATATCATGTTTTTTACTTAATCCTCACAATCTCAATTTCCTTTAAAATATTGTCCAGAAAGATTGCACAGCTCTAATACTATCATATTTTCATGCAGACTCATGGTGTTAAAATGTTTTTTTTGCATTTAGTATTTTTGCCTTTAAAAAGCCCAAACCATACACCAGAGGCAGAAGCAAAATCTGTACGACATTCCCCTCCCCGTGCTCCTTTCTCCTAGCTAGTGTGGGGCAGACATGCTTTTAGACAGTGATTATCAGTGTCATCTTGCATTTATTTGACATTATTCTGCAGATTTTTCACTTCAACTTTTATGTTGCTGTCACTCATTAGGAGATTTTTTAAATTATTTTTTACTGTTTCGGGTCACAGAGGCATCTGCTAATGGCCATAAAGTAATCTGTAGGAATAAGGACTTCCTATTTTCACTTCCTGTCATTTCTAATGGTAAGGAATAAAATCCATGCAATATTAAAGTTCCCTTTTAAATATATTTTCCTTATTATTAATGATACTTTTTTTTTAAGTTACTTGAAATAGAATCTTTCCCCCTCCTGCCACCCCCAGTTTTAGCAGGTGCCAAAGACATTTGTGTCTATAGTAAGCAATAGCTTTTCTGAACCAGATATTGGCCTTCAAATACCTACACTTTAAGCTGTCTTCTGAAATTCAAAATGTGGAAATATACATTGTCTAGATTCAGACCTTTCTGTAAAGATAGAAAGTTCTAACAGTTCTGGAATTTGAATCGGAGGTGGCTTTAATGTCTTAATACTGGTTAATCCTCATGACAGTATTGAAGACTACTCTGGTAGTACATTAACATGATTAACTTGTGTTGCATATGCTTGACTTCCTTCTGGTTGTCATCTACTTGGGCAATGTACCTCTGTTCCTCAGGCAGAAATATTTTCCACGGAAAACTATAATGCAAGTATTTATTTGTTAATCTATTTTAATTCATTTCTTTAACTGCCAATATCTTCATAAAAAGAGTTACATGATTTTTCTTTCTCCATAAAGTTACCAAGTCATTTAAGCCATCTTTGCTCCAAGTGTCTTTTAAGGACTCTGCAAAGCAAAAAGGATGTGAGCTGTCTGTAGTGGCAAAGATGTATCTGTCTTTGCACAATAGCACAAAAGAAGCAAAAGTTGTGATACACAGAGAGTGAGAGGCTTTAAAATTTTCCCACCCTGAGGACTGTATATGTGAGCTGATTTATTTTGTGGTGTACTTGAGATAAAACAGGAGCTCTGTATTCTTTAATGCATTTCAGGTTATGAAGCAGGAAAATTTTCTGGGAAATTAGAGAATTAGAAATACTGGGTGTTTGCAGCAGTCTGAGCAGATCTGTAATGGTTGTGGGCATTGGTACATGTTTGAAATGCTTTTCCACTGTATTGTTTACTATAATGAACTGGTCAATGAACATCACAAATTGTTTATCTATATATATATATATATATCTTGACAGATTACTGTTTATGAAATCCATTTAGCAAGTGAGGTTTTCCCATAAGGATGAAAAATGAAGATTTTAAACAGATTGCTGGAGAGGCTCTAACTGCACCTAGAGAGTCAATGTAATAAAGGTTTCTCTATATTAGTATTACAAAAACCATTTATCCTCACAAAATCAATATTGCAATTCATCTTGAGCTGACGTTTCTCTTTCCATGTTTTAAAAGTCTGTTTTCCTTGATTATATATAATTCCCTTTTAATAAAGCTCAAATATGTTTGACTCTGAATACCTTGAAGAATTAGCATTTAGCAAGAATGCTGAAAATATTTCTTACATGATTAAAGATTACTTATTTTTTTAAAGAATTTTTTTGGTTTTTTTTAAAAAATCCTTAATTGACTGAATGGTTAATCCTAACTGAAAAGCATGAACTGTGCATAACAACAAATCCAGTTCTGGTGTTCTGCTGTTTAAGAAAATAATGTATGTGATTACACAAATATAATGTGTAATCCCATGGAGCAGAATATGATGAAATATATGCTGCTATCTGCAGGATCTGGAGCCGAATTCAGTACAGGTGAAGGTAGGGAGCCTATGCTTTACCCAAAAGAAAATGCAACAAGCAGAAAGAAACAGACACACCCTGCCAGGCACTGAAAACTATTGCTGTGACTGTATGTGTATGTGAGTTTGATTGTCTCATGTGTGAATGATAATGAAAACTGGAATAATCAGAGGACCATTATTAATAAGAGGTGCAATAATATGCAGGAATGATAAGAGAAGCATGTCTTTCACTATTTATCTCTCAAGAAACTTTTATTAACATCTCCCCAACTAAATCATCATGTAATGAAATTATGAAATAAGAAAATATTGTCTTACTGAGCAAATAATTCTGTCTTCATTTTTACCTGTAACTAAACTAGGATTTTTTAGTCATGGAATTAAAATATTCTAAACAAAACCTCTATTTAAAGGGGGATTTGGATACACTGTCTACAGATGAAAAGACTTAATAGAGTTGGAAAAAATTGCCCTTTTCTCTTGACTGTAAAAGAGAGGAAACTACACTATAGTGGTTTTCAAGAGGGAATGTATTTTATTTATTCTCAAAAGGATATTAGTCCATAAAACAAATTTGCAGCTTATTTTGCAGCTTTAGCTTTTATCAGCCTTTTTAAGGGTGTTGAATGATTCCCCAGGAGATCACACAGCACGAGCTGCTGTGGAGTAAAGGAACTCTAATACAGAGAGCTCTGCAATAGGCAGAAAATGTATGTGAAGAGTTTTCTTAAGCTTGTTTAAAAATCTCTCACATTTAATGCCTATTTCACTGATTATTGACCCGAATTTTAGTGTCCTAATGTGAAAACACTTTCTACCTTCCCCTCCTCTCTCCCTTGCTTTAAAAAGCTGATACCTAATACATAACTGAACTTGCTTTTATTTCTGCTTTTATATGGATAGAAGGAGATATAGACCAAGGTGAGAGTGGTGACTGGGAAAAGGCACCACCATATATTTCCTTGGATCTGGTGAAACTGGCTGAGGAATTATCAGCCAAATCAGATCAATGACTCCTGTTTAGTCTTAGGGTTAGCAGAGTAAAGGTGGACATAGCATGGGTGTCCCTGCCTTGAACTTCTCTGAGGTCTTTTAGCTGCTTCATCATCTTGGGACCTTGCCTCTGGAGTACTTTGAGATTCCCTTGAGGCTGCTGTTGCTTATGCCTGAGAATCAGACTTTTCCAGCTCAGGGCAAGGGGGGTGATGTGTGGATTTCCCAGCATGTTTTAGCTGGACTGTGCAATCTCACCTTTCTCCCAGTCCATGTATTTTCAAAATTATTTTACTCTGCAGCAATTAAAATAGAATTAAATCAGAATCTAAAGTATGAAGCTTTTTTTGCCATTGTTGGCTTTCTGTTATGACTAATCATGGCAGTCTGTATTGCAATGAGTAGCATTCTAGTATTTGCAGCAAGGAAAATACTGCTTCACTTAATTTCTTACATGTTCTGAGTCTTTGCATATTTACACAATCTGGCATTGGTATCCCTGCTACAAATGAATGTCAGTGGGGAAATAGTGTATCAAGTAAAGAACAAGTTGATTGCAAGAGGTTTCACATGGAAATGCTAAAGCATAAATTAATCCTGAAAATATTCTACTGATGCCAGAGAGATTTACAGAATTGAAACGTGGCATTTGTGTGATACCAGTGCTTTTAATTTTTTGTTCTTTGTAATTAAAAAATAATTTAATTTGCATATTTAATTAATTATTCTCTGTAGTTATTTCTAGTTTTGTCCATCAGGCTGCAAAGAAAATGTGTTTTCGGTTATAATATTCATATTTCTACTGTTTTGTTTTCTCTCACTGTTTTAATCTGAGTGCTTTTCTCCCAGTTTTGGTCACCATTCATTCTCCTTTATTCACAGCATGTTATTTTTTTCAACTTCAGGTTGCCTTTGTGGACAAGAAATTATTAATGGATTTTGTTTTTCCAACAAAAGCTTAGTTTCCACTGAGGTAGAAGGTTGCATATTTTATGCAGGAACCTCTACAACTGGTTACATGTGTATCACTGTATTCTGCAGCCCTCAAGAAAGGTTGTGTGAATAAGGTTGCAGGATTGAGTGCATAATGTGGTTATTGCCAAACATTATTATCCAGTTTGTATATGGATCAATATATATAAAAGCTCTTTAATTCTAAGCCATTTTTCTCTAAAATAGAATATTATTCTGGCATTGAAATGTTTATTTTCATAGTGGGCATCTTTTTTGTAAGTTTTTTTTCAATCAAACTAATAGGTTTTCTGCTGTGTTTCAGACTACTGAACTGTTTATGATTTTTTAATTATGTTACCCAAGAATCTTTAAAACAAAACCCTACTGTGCTTAACTGAAGTGTTAATGTATTTTGATCACTTCCTTGATTTGTTTTTGTTTATAGATGTCAGCACTGTAATTGTCATCCTGCAGGAGCCATTAGTGGGACTTGTCATGTTGTTACTGGGCAGTGTGTTTGTAAACAATTTGTAACTGGCTTGAAATGTGACAACTGTGTTCCCGATGCTAGTAATTTGGATGCCGACAACCTATTTGGCTGCAGTAAAAGTAAGTGGATGTTAGTTCTTAAAAGCATGTCTTTCAAATGAAAGTTTTTTATTGATTTAGTGAGTATTGAATTCAGTCAACAGTACTAAAACTGGGTGTTACTCCCCCACAGTCCCCATATATTGGGCCCCTGAAGTTTGAGTGATTTTCCCCATATCTTAGGACTGTTTTCTAGAGAGATGTACAGAAAGCTTCATGTCATCCTCACCTTATGCTTGCAGTCCTAAGCCAGGGTAGAAGTAATGGCCCATAGTTCCCTTGCACTTTCCACCATGTTCTTTGCAGTGACCAATGCAGAGTTCACCTTTTAGTCATTGAAGGCAGTAGTATTTGTATGACTTAGAGTTTAGCCTCCTTTCCTGCCATTGACAGGAGGCAGGAGACCTGCCTTCAGAAGGTCTAAAGAACAGAAGGTCAGCTGAAAACCTGCTCCTGCTGATTAATTCAAAATCTGCTCCTCAGTGCAATGTAGCTTTGCCTTTCTCCTGCTGGGGCTTTTTTTTCAGTGGGTTCGGGAAAGTATGTGATGTGATGTGACAGAGCATCAGAAATTGACACATGTGAGTGAGACTAATATTATCTTGAGGTTCAGATCATTAATTGTAATGAAACAAATTGCAATGGAGCATCTACATTTCTGCCCTTGCAGTGAATTTTGATATGAAGAGGGGGCACAGTTTTATCCTTTATGTTGTAATTATTCAAAATTAAATGTTCAGATTTGCTCACCAGTGCACAATCTCCAAGATGGCAGGGATTTTAAGGAAAGAGAGGAGAAAGTATCTGCAATAAGAAAAGTGAATTTTAAGTTGTCTTTGGGCCAATGTTTGAGGACACCATGCCATGCAATGGCAAACCATGTGGGAAGGACCTCAGTTAATTCTGAAAAAGATGTGCTGCATTTTTGTGATACACCTTTACTGCCATACTGTTAACAGTCCAGTCTTGGAAGTCATGTAACCAGTGAGTGAGCAACTCTGCAGATGCTAATTGGGCGTTTCTGTCAGCAGGCCTAATTAATAATGGCCACACTGGCCACCCTGTGACAGTTAGCTCAGGTAGTCATGTGTAATGCAATGACAGGGTTATACATTCTCAAGTTATGTCTGGAGTGTATTTCTGGATCCTCTTTCAACAAAATATTTCCTTGTGTGTTCTGCATAGGTATTATGTGATATTCATCACTGTGACCAGTGAATACTTTAGATTTGCAAGTAGAGATGTACATGCACAAATTGTTTACAGGGACAGACAGCTCTTACTTTTACACCAGTTTGTATTTAATTGTAAATCAGTTTAAATTTCAAGTAATAGGAAGAATATGCAGCATTATAAATGGATAGTACAAAGAAGACTGATTTGTTTCCAAAGATGATTTTAAAATCTTCCCTCAAAGTCTGGAAGTGTTTAGAGATGCAGCTGTGCTTTGGTCTTCCTCATACTCTTCTGCAGAAGGCGCAGTATCTCTTCTCTGTGCCGACAGTTGATTGGCTTGTTGTTTCTTTAAAAAATATATGATGTTTCAACTGAATGTATAATAATCATAATACATGGCACTTTTATGATGCTGTTCATCTTCAAAGCACTTTACAAACATAAGCCAACCTACTTATTTATGTTGGGATATACATTGGATAAAGGTCAATAACAATTCAACTATAAAATTGATTAATAATAATATGACATACATAAATAATATCATAGATTTTAGTTAGATAAAAATATATCAGGCAGCATTCTAAATGACAAGCGGAGTCCTCTTCTGGACATAGATGATATAGCAATTGCAGTCTTTTAGTTATTCATACCAAAATATTTTAACTTGTTGCACACATAGGGAGCTTTGCCTAGCTTGATATTTGTGGATATTTTCATTGTAGAACAGTATTTTGTTGACACATACCATTACTTGTTGGAAGTCTTTGCCAAGGGAAGCAAATAAAAGTTGCTGTCACTGTCCAACTAGTGTTCTTTAAGGAAAAGGCCTTTTTCCTTAGCAGTTTTTCTGTTTAGCAATATCTTAGATGCTGTACAAAAATCTGAAATACAGCACTTTGCTGACACACCTAAAATGCAAACCAGCAAATGCATGTGAGCGATATGCAATAGTGTGAGACTGCAAATGGTGAATGAAGGTGTTGCTATAAATTTCTATGATTGCTCAAGTTTTGCAAGTATGTCTTACACGGAGAGAAATCTTTTAAAATACCAAAGGGATTTAGGAGCACTTGTTGTTTCCTTTGATTCTCAAACTTTACTCCTTAGCATAGACACCTGGCATACATTCACTTCCTAGCTGAGCTGAACTCAAAGACTCCAGATTGGCAGCAAAACAACCTGTGCTTTCTAATGGGAGATTATGATTATGTTTTGTGTTCAATACAATGAATTCTACAAATATTTACTTCTATTTCTTGGCTGGGAGATTGCAGTAGTAGCAGGGCTTTTCATTATCTTACTCTTATTAAAGAGCTTCATCTCACTTTTTTGATTTGTATTAAAAACCTGTGTGTAATGTGGCCCACTGATGCTGGTGCAAGTCTCTGCATCTATCACTTGTGTGACTTGAGGCCCTCATGACATTTTCAGTCTGCGACTTCATTCTTTGCTTCTTGTCTCCTGTTAGTTTGGCTGAACAGATTTTGGTAATTAACTTTTGGTGAATTGTTTATGTTAAGCAAATATTCATGTAATGAAAGAAGATGATAGTTTATAAACAGAAGGAGGAAAAAAATCCACGTTTCTAGTCTTGATATTTTCCTCTAATACTTAATGTAGGGGAGAAAAGCTTATTGGGTGGTACTGGATCCAGGCCTTGGTAGCTTACTCCATATGCTGATTTCTGTACTGCCCTAGGCTATTTTCATTCCT